GCTGTGTCCCAAGGAACCATGCCTGGCCCACAGTGGGCCATCAGCATGTATCTGTGAAGTGAATGGATTCACATGGCAGAGATCAGGCCAGGGTGGAGATTGTATCTTGGGACACCACCCTACTCCACCATTACAGGGGCCTGGAGAGGTAGAGAGGATGTTGTGTGTGTGTGTGTGTGTGTGTGCGCCCGCGCATATCCTGTCTGACCCCCAGTTAGATCTGCAACTTTTTCGCGGCTTGGAGCCCATCTCTGGCAGGAGCTGGACCTGGCTTAGTTCACAGGGAAACTCTGGGGACCCTGAGAACTGTATAGGGGCCCTGGTGTCAAGCGGGGCCTCCTCAGATGGCATCCCAGGTGTGAATCAGCAATGTGGGGGGATGAGTGAGGCTATAGGCGAGGGTGTGTGTATGGGGGAGGGGGTATAGCTAGGCCTTGGACACAGGAAAACTGGCCCATCTGCTCAGCCACCCATGGGGAAGGTGTCTGGGAAGGAGGAGGAGATGGCATTGGTGAAGAAGCCCAGAGCCTGTAGAACCAGACCCCAAGTTGGGAAGACCTTTGTTATCTCCTACCTGTCGGTTTTTACTAGGATGGAGAGGGTTGTACATACAGTAGGTGTTCATGATGGCTAGCCTTGGGAGATGCTGGAGGTCTCGTCTGTGCCCTCTGAGGCCACCAGGCCATGAACTGCTCCAGGACAGACTCTGCCCAGCCACTCTGTCCCTAGTATCCGTACATGGCCTGGCACAGAGTAGGCGCTCAGTAAATGCCTGCTGGACTGTGCAGAGCACTGTATCGTGGGATAGCACAGGCACCCCCTCCTTTAGCCCGACTGGGGTCTGGACTCAGAACCCTGAACTGTTGTGTGTCCTTAAGTCTGTTCCCTAGCCTCTCTGGTCTCAGGGGCTTCCTCTAGATCGCAAGGGCCGGGTGGTCTCTGGGTCCCACAGACCAGGCTTCCTGCCCACCTTGCCCCTACGGTCCCATCTGGGTGACCAGCCCCAGACTCTTCAGCAAGGGAGCCCTTCCCCAAGCTGTTCCCACCTTCTCAGAGCTGGAGCCTGGGCAGGGCAGGGCCTAGCGTCAACCAGGCAGGGGGAGGGCAAGAATCAGCTGGTGGCCCTGTCTCTCGGCAGCTGACATGGGTCCCAGCTTTGTCCTTGCCATAACCCCCAGGCTACGGCTCCTAGGAGGGTGGGACCCAAGAGGGAGGAGGGGGTGTTGGGAGATGGGGACAGAAAGAAAGCTAGGAAGGCAGCAATTTGACTGACCGACTGACCAATAATTGAACACTGCCCTTTTCAAAGTGCATCCATTTCCTTTGTCAATTGGCAATTCACCCATTCACAAGCCCCCCGCCCCCCCCCCCCCGCAGGATAAGCAGGGCGAGTATTATTTCCATTTCATGGAGGAGGTGAGGGAGGCCTAGAGGTGCTAGAAAATGGCAGCACCCAGCCAAGCCCTGGGCCCTTCCTCCCACCCAGCGATCTTCGCTCTCTGGTGGGCTAGTGACGGGGAGGGATGCTCCAGAGCCAGCTGCTCCTGAAATCATAATCTGTGTTGAGTCTGATGCTGTTGGCTGCTCGAGGGTCCCTGCCCTGAAGGAGTTGGAATCTTGGAAAGATAAACACTGGGAAACAATTAGAGCACAAAGAATTGGCACATGTGAAATCTGCAAAGGCTGGAGGGGGCATGAGAAAGCTTTCTGGAGGAGAAGGCTCTTGAGATGGGGCTCAGAGGATGGGGATTCTTTCAGTCAAAGTAGAAGAAACTCAACTCATCTCCATCTGAACAGCAGAAAAAGGACATAAATGGTTCATCCAGATGTTCACGCAGTGATGGCTTCGCTAGGCTCCTTCTCTGGCCTGTCGCAGCACACACTGCTTGCGCTGGCAGTTCCTAGCCTCAAGGCTCAGAAGCCCCAGTGGCCAAAGAGAATATGTCATCTCAGTAGGTTGGAGAAAAATTCCAAGATGGAGTCACAATGAGCCAACGTGGGTGGTGTGCTGGACCGCAGTTCTGGAGCGGGTGGATATGGAGAAGGCATCACCCAAAACAGATGGGTAGGGTCTGGATGGGGGGAACAGAAGGGTGCACATCTTACGCCATGGGAAATGGCCAGAGGGGGATTGAAGAGGAGATTTGCCTCGGGGAGCTGTGGGCAGGATCCAGGAGGTCTAGTGGACCCAGTGACCATGCCGGGGACCTGGGACTTGACCCTGAGGGGACAAGGCAGGTAGTAAGAGGGTCCTATCAGGCACAAAATGATCGAGGAAACTTCAGATTTGAATTTGAATCTACATCCCAGCTATGACCTTGGGCAAGATATTTTATACATTTGGGCCTCAGTTTCTACACCTGAAAAATGAGGACAGTAATATCTACCTGGAAGGGTTGCTGTGGGAGGTAAAATGATGTGGCATGTGGTTGGTGGTCAGTGAGGCCCCGGGACAGGGCATCAAGGTTTACAGAGCACTTTCACAACATTATCTCACCCCTCACAACATCTCTGAGAGTTCTGTGGGGATGGGGAGAGAGGAGTCCAACAGATTTCAGCCAAAGTCACAAAGCTGGAAGCTGACAGAGCTAGGATGTATATTTGGGTCAAATACTGAGCTATTGTCACAACACCAGGCTGAATGTATCAAGGTGCTGAGGGGGTGTGTGTCACCCGAAGTCCCCTAATTGGCCCTTCCTTCCCCTGGAGCCCACCAGAGTTGCCCATGAGCCCACCAAACCTGCCTTGAACCCACCACTGACATCCACCCCAAGCAGCCTCTTAGCACCTTAGCCCAAGTGAGCCCCCGCTGAGCAGATGGGGAGTCCTCTCCTTGCTCCCTTTTGGACCTTTCCAGCTTCCAGAGGCACCCTTTGTTTCCTTACTCCAGGCCTAGGTGGGTAGAATCACTGCCCACGTTCAGTACAGCTTAGTCTGGTCCATCCATTCAGGCCCACCCATTCCTAGGGACAACTAAGCGCTCCTTTGGGCCCAGAGCAAAACTGTACCAGCATTTCAGGGGCAGCCTTCCCAAGGTCAGAGTTTTCTGTGATATGACCAGGCCCTTTCCCAATGCCACCCAGCAGTAGAATATTGTCTCTGGCTGCAAGAATATTCTGTCTTCATCTATCTATCCATCTTCTGGTCTGTCTCAGATAGAGTCAGGCTTGGCTTTGAATAATAAAGATCCCACTTAACAAAAGCAAAAGTTATATTTCCCTCATAAAAGTCCTGAGACAGACAGTCCAAAGCGAGTACAGAAGTTTTATGCAGAACTCAGAGACTTAAACTCCTTCCAGCTCAGTGTTCCAACCATCTTCTTGTCCTCATGGTCAGAATGGCAGTCAAAATTCCAGGCATCACAGCTGCATCCCAGGCAGTAAGACAGAGGAAGAATAAAGAAGAAGGAGGCGAATGGTACATGTCAGTTTACTTTTTTTTTCTTGCTAATTTACTTTTAAGAAAGATTCCTAGAAAATGACAACTAGCTGCAGGGGAATCTTGTATAGTCTAAATTCCAGGTAGCCAAGTTCCCAGCTAAAAACCTAAGGGTTTGTTTACTGAGGAAAGGGAGAGAATGGACATTGGGGTAACTATCTCTGACACCCCATTCATTCAATAAGCATTTATTACATACTCTTTCTACTTACCCATGATATAATACCTTATATGAGTAATTACATGAGTAATACCTTAGCATCTCAAGATGCTTAGCATCTCAAAATACGTAATACCTTAGTATCTCAAGAGCAATGAACAGCACCTGGCATTTAGTAGGTGCTCAGTGGCATTATTATTACTGCATCAGAGTGCTGATATAAGTGCAAGCTTCTATGAGAGTGGAGAGGAGGTCCTGCCTGGGAATGTAGGAGGTCTTCCTTTTTATTGATCCTAGAGGACTGGGATGGTCAACTTGCAGCCATTTTAGAACCTTGTATTACCTTTCAGACCTCTGCCTCATCCTGTCTCGACCTTCTCTGGGGAACGACTATGATAACTCATCCTTACCAAGGTGCCGGTAACAATAATAGCTAAGCACAAGGCTCTCCAGGGTGAAAAATGCAACCAACTGAATTTTGACATCAGTTAAGGTGAGGGGGCTAGTTCTGAAGACCCTGGAATCTTCCTGAAGCCCTAGAATACTTATGCGTAGGCAGTCGCACAATTACTTCTGAAATTAGAAAATAACAATAAATATTATCTAGGATGGTCCCATCTGACAGAATGGGGGTTGCAGATGCTTGGTGCCTTTCCAGGGTGACTCAGAGAAAGGAAGAGCCAGTCCCTATCCTCCGGGGATATCCCTCAACCCAGCTGGCAGGATGAGGAAGAAGCTGAGATCTTGGCTGCATGACTTTCCTTGAACTCATGGAGGTAGAGGATCCTGGGCGGTGGGTGCCTGGGAATAGTTACCTCCTTGCCTCCACACTTCAGGGACTGTAGGAGAGCAAGCTGCTGCTGGCCAGTGGCCACTCTGGGCCTGGAAAAGCGAGCTACCAGTCCCTCCTGAGCACTTCTGTATGACAGGCCTCTGCCAGGCTCTGGGGGGCACAGAGAGCATGGGGTGGGGTGGTTTTATGACTCTCAGGTCCCTTTCCCCAGGGTTCTCTGAAAGCTTCTTCCATCCCTGATCTGGAAAGCCAGACAGCACCTCCTCCAGGAAGCCCTCACTGACCTCCCTTGTCAAGTACCCACCCTCAGTGCTCTCCTACAGCCCTCCATTGGGCTTTTTCCAGTACTGCTTGCTTGTCTGTCCCCTGCTCTTGGCTGATCCCTTTTAGGGCCTGAGCCTGGAATCTTCTCACTATTACCCCGTGCCTTGCACATAAGATGAGCTCAGTAGCTATGTATCAACTAATGAACGGGTGAGTGAGTTCACTGGCTGCCAGGGTGTGGATCCCCCAGCGAGGAGGGGGAAGCTTGCAAGGGTTAACCAGGAGCCCGCCTGTGGTCTGAGGTAAGCAGGGAGCGTATTTGTTCAGGTAAATAAGGAAGGATTACTTATAATGGGAAATCAGGCCCTGGCCAACTCTTCATCTCACGCTGCCTGACTTCCTCCCAGCACATTCCTGCACTCTGCCCGTGTCCACACTGCCCCGCAGACCTAGTCCCCTGAGCCCACTGCAGCCTCCCTCCCAAGCCCCTCTGTCTGGGTCTTGCCACAGTGCCAGCAGGTGGCCCTAGGCTGGGGACTGGGGCTCCCTATAGTACACACAGCCCTAAGACCTCAGAGGGCCACCCTTAGAGGGTGGCTAGAGCTCTAGTGGCCCACCCACGTGCCATCCCTTCCCCCAGCCCTGCCGGCCCCTGGTAGCACTGGCCCCCCCAGATGCCCGGCTGAAACACAGCAGTGGCCTAAGCTGCCCACACCTCCTCCTGGCCTCCGAGTTTGGCACAGCAGCGAACGACTCCTTGGGCACCAGGCAGCTAACGGGTAAGTCTGGCAGGAGGCAGTGCCCTGCCATGGGGGCTGTGCCCTGCCATGGGGGCTTTCCCCTGCCAGCTGTAGGGAGGTGGGCAATGGAGGGTGCTATCAAGGCCAGAACTGGTCTTCCGGGCATCAGTGACCCTGACCTGGGTCCTTCAGCCTCAGACGCCCCAATCCCTCTGCGTACTGCCTAGTCTGCCTCCCTAGGCTGACCCTGAGCCTGGGTGAGGCCTCTGGCGTGGAGAGGCCTGGGGTGCCCCATGTCTGTGATGACCCTGTCTGGGCTCCACACTGAGCCCAGCCTGTCCAGCCTGAGGGGAGGCAGCTCTGCAGGTGCAGAGCCTCAGCGCCTGAGACCAGGCCAGTTCTGCTTGGCTAACGAAACACAAGCAGCCTTTCTGCTGCTGCAAGCCACAGCTGCTCTGCCAAGGGAAGGGTCTCTCTGGGGCCTGGTCACAAGTTGGCATGGGCTTGCTAGAGCCTAGAGGCTCAGGGCCAGGGCCAGGGTCCAGGTCAGAGCAGGGGTTCAGTCCCAAAGCCCAGGGGTTGGGAGGAGCAGTGGTGGGCACAGAAACTGGGGTGGGAAGCTGCAGAGTAAACCACCTGGGGGCTTGGGTACCCACAGAAGTGTGGGAGCATCTGGGCACATGAGGAAAGCAATGCGGGGAGCAGTGGGTGGGTTTGAAGGTGCTTATTTCTAGGATTTGCCAGATGCCTGTGGGGAGAGAGGGAAGTAGGTTGTGGGAATAACAGGGTGGAAAGCTGAGGGGTCTGGATGGCCGGGGGCTCCCCTGAAGGAGGACGAGGTATGTGTGCACATGAGTGTGTATGTGCACGTTGAGGAGCTAGCCCCGGATCCCCCCACCTCCCCAGGCCAACTGGGCCCAGCCAGAAGCCCCTACCTAGACCACAAGCCTTGAGTGCCCTGTCCCCTGTATGACAGGCATGGCCTTCCTGCTTCTCCGTGGCCAGGCTGGGACTTGGCCTCATTTCCTGCCCCCACATCCCCAGTAAATAGAGTCACAGCAACCCCCAATAAAGTGACATCTCCCCAGCTCCAGCTGCTCGGCTGAGTAACAGCAAACAGGCATCCGGGCTGCCGCAGGCCCAAGGGGGCAGGCAAGAATGCGCAGGAGACTCTCCACCAGACAGGTGGGCCCAGGCCACGACTCAACCTAGCTGGCCAGTGCCACTTGCGGCCTGCCCACCTTGGGGAAGGGCTGGAGCCAGGAACTCCCAACTTGGAGCCTCTTCACCCCAAACTCACAGAACTTTGAGGAGAGGGACGTCCTCAGAGCTCCCAGGGAAGTTGGGGCATGGAGAAGGTGGTCTCCCGCGAGGTAGGGGACCACCCTCCCATTTGAGAGCCTGACAGTGAATGGACAAACATTTCCTCTTAGCCATGCACTGTGGGGAGACCCAGAGCTGGGCTGTCAATCCCTGCTGAATTTGGTTATTGTGTGTTACCAATTATAAAACCTTTTGGCAGCTGCAACGTCACTTGTTTTTCACAAGGACCCTCTGAATTAGATAGAATTTCTCTGTCAACTGAGCCTGAGGGAATAGGGTGGCACTCAGCAGATGATCAGTCAATACTCAGAAAGTGTGATGTTGGCAGAAAGTAGAACCAGGAGAACCCACTTACTACCACTGAAGTTGCTGCAGATATATAAAGTTAATAACCCTGAACCAGTTAGATCACAGCTTTGTGCTTAACAACTTGGTGCAGCTTGAGTGTAACTTGGAGACAAGGCCTTTTGGATGGAGGGCAAGAAAGTGCAGGTTAGGGCCCCCCAGTGTGTGACCTTGGGCAGGTCACTTTTTCTCCCTGCATTTGCAGCTCCTTGTCTGTGAAATGAGGCTAGACAAGATAGCCTCCTTTATTAAGGGTGGCTTCATGGAAGAGGCAGATTGACGTGGGGTTTTGAAGGCTGTATAGCAGTTGGTGGAGGCAGCGGCCAGCTGGTTTTGCCAGGTTTACAAGACTTGCGTGCTTTCACAGCCTTGTCTCCTAGTCTGAGGTAAGGGGAAGTAGGGGGTCTGGCTCTGGCTCCTCCTAGAGGCCAGGGAGGGGTGAATGAGGCCAGCAGCTGCCCTGGACTAGGTTAGAGAGCAGGATGACCTCAGGGCAAGGTCCAGGACTCTCTTACCACCATTTTCAACTCTCCCCCAGGTTCCACCCTTTCGCCCTGCCCCTCCCTCCACTATCACCACGTTCCTTTTTTTCCCTCACTCTTCACCCTATTACCTTTCGCTCCCCTCTTCTCCAGCCTCATCCCCTCACCTGCTCCTAGGTGCCACCTTCACTCGTGCTCAGCGCATCATAATTCACAAGGAATTTCCACCCACCCTCCCCCTCAGTCTCCACACCCCTTTAAGACATGCTCTTGACAGCCCGTTTAGCAGATGAGACAACTGAGTCTCTTGCCCCAGTGGCAGAGCTAGAGAGCAGGGAGTTGGGGCTCAAAATGATCTGGGACCCTCCCTGTGCCCCAACCCCCACCTCATTGCATGCTCCACCCTGCGCCCCCAGCCAAGTGAGTGGCCTGTCAGGTGGAACAACTCTTCCCAAAGCAAACTTTGCACAAGCCGAGTTGCCCTGGGCTCTTCCTGACATTTAATGCCAGGCTCCTTTCCCTGCCTCTTTTGCATGTTCCCAGCCCAGGAGGTGCCCCCTGCCAAATTCTCCTCTCCCACCTCTCAGGGGCCTCTGAGCGAGGGGAGGGTGAGCCTCCTCCTCCCTCTGGACCACTCCTTCTGGGCCAGGGATCTGAGTGTGACTCTGCTGGGGGCCAGAGGGACCACAGCCCACCTGGAGCTGTAGAAAGGGGCGATGAGGTCTCTCTGGGCACCACCAGAATCAAGGGGCCCTTCCTTCTCCCTCTAGCTTTGCGATTGAAAGGGGTCTGGGGGTGACTGCCTGGGTTAGGGTCCCAACACCTGGGACTGGTGATGGGCGGGGCCCAGGTCACTACCCTTGGGGCAGCAAGTTGGCCTGCAGGCTTCTGGGATCCAGCTCTTCTTGCCTGACTTCAATGCCCCACCCCGCAGGGCTCCTCAGCAGAGGGGCAATATGTCTCTGCTGACGTTTCATGGCTGGGGTAGGCCCCATAACGTCCTCTTAACCCATCTCCATCCTTCAAACCTTTTTTTGAAGCAATTTCTGTTCTTAGCCTCTCAGGACAGTTCATTCTGGACTTTTAAGATTTTCTGTAACATTGGAGTGCCTTCCCTCTGTCCTAAATCTTCCTTTCCAAGTGCCAAGATGAGTTCCCTGGCCCTAGGATTGGGGCTTAAGGCACATTTTCTCCCTCAGCCCTGTCAAGATTTTACAGATTCACCAACAGGCATTTACAAAGCGCCTCTGCCTCTCCAACACTGTGCTGGGCCTGGAGAGGGCCACAGAGACATGTGAGAATGGAGATGAGGGTGACCCATTACACACACCTCTTGTGATGTGTACACACATCACTGTCCTGCCTTGTTGTTCCAAACCCCAGAGATACATTGTATTTATGGGTCCCCATTTTACAGACAAGGAGACTGAGGCCAAGAGAATCAACCAAGGTGCTATAGGCAGAAGTTGGGTGAAATCCATGTGTTCTCACCCTGTCAGGGACCTGGCTGCCCAGGTCGGGCAGGGCTATGGGGAACGAGATGCTCTCGGAACCTCACAGCCCCTGTCCCGGAGTGAGTGCTGGAGGGTGTACAGAAGAGTGTGGGGCTCAGTGGGTAGCCTGAACAAGGCAAAAGGGATGGTCAGCAGGGGTGACCATTGGGGTTGGAAAGTGCCAAGCCACCATCACCATCTGGAAAGGATGGGGCTTATCCTTGAGCTCTAATCCCTGTCCGGTCACCATGGATACATGCCCCGAGGCAGCCACCTCCCTGTGTCTGTCAAGTGGGAATAATACTGGGTGCCCCAGGAGACAGTGGGAGAGCCCCAACAAGCTGTTTGTTTAGTTGGCCTTTACCTCATCCCTGGAAGGGTTGGAAGTGATGTGAGTGGCGGGGGGGGGGTGTGTGGATGCCCGTGGTACTCATGCTGTGAGAAAGAGTGGGAGACGGTGTTGGTACAAATGTGCCTTCGGCTCCTGACTGTCCATGGGAACCATGGGAAAAGCAGACCAGACCGTGTTTCCATGATGTTTCCTGACTCTTTTATTTCTTATCCTCCATCCTCCTGCTACCTGGCCCTGCCCCCCAACTCCCTGCTCCCAAGGCTTCCCACACATCACAGCTCCCCACCTGTGGGCTGGCTCCCCAGGTTGAACTTTTGCTTTTGCAAAAGTTAGGTCAGTGGCCTGGATGAGTCTGGGATCTGAGGAGGTGGGGCAAAGCCTGGGTGTCTAGAAGAAACTTACCTCTCCTGCTCCTCTCACACTGAGCCCACGACAAGGCAGGCCTCCCTCAGACACTCCCAGGCACCCCCGTCCCTTCTCTCTGCCCTTGGAGACTCCTGGGATAGCAGGTGCTTAGGGATGGCTACAATAGGGTGCTTGAGAGAGAGCTGGAGTGGCCCTGGGTGGCCAGCCTGGGACCCTCTTCCTGAACAAGATGGTGGTCTATCCAGTGGGGAGAGGCTAGCTCTCTGGACAGTGAATGGTGGGCAGTAAGGAGGAGGCCAGGCACTTTTCGCGGGTCCAGCTATCTTGAAGAGCAGGGCAAAGGACAACGGAGCTGGGTTTTCATGGGAGGGCAGGAGCTATCCAAGGAGAAGGGAAGGGGCTGGAGGAGGAGTGGCAGTATGGGAAAGGAATGTCTAAGGGAGCAGGGAGTCTGGGGCCAGAGGCAGAGAGTGTTCAGACAGCTGCTCAGGCAAGTCCTGGGCACTGGCCTGGGCAGGCCCAGCTTCTCTCCAAGGTGCTGACCAGCTGACTCAGAATTGGGGGGACAGGCCCATGTGGCCCCTGCCCACTCTGCATGGCTCCTGGCCAGATCTTGGTCACACCCCTAAAGCTCCCTGATTCTGACCCATTAATGCGGGTCCAGACACTTGGATGGAGGGAAGGAAGGACTGACAGCTGGGGCAGTGGGCTGCAGAGGTGAAACTGGAGAAGGTCTGCTCCCAATTGGTGGAGGAGGCCGACTCTGGCCGAATGGCAGGCTCTGCCACATGCTCGCCCCATCCACTCCTCCTCAGTGCTCTTCTCACAAGGTTGTCTCAGGATTGAGGTGGGGGCTCAGGCACATTTATCCCACCCACAACCTCCTGGGGGTGAGATCTGGGAGCCTGGCCTAAGCAGGATGTGGGAGACAGGCTCCAACACCATGACAGACCAGGGCCTTAGTAAAGACCTCCTGGTAGCTCCATTTCCCCAGGGTGGGGGCTTCAGGAGATACCTGGGCATTTTTGCACATGGGGGTGAGAGTGAGAACCTGGGAGGCAGGGGAGTTGCGGGAATACATTCCGGGCCCCAAAGGGCAGGAAATAGCTGCTGGAAATCTCTAACTTTGGGTCCCTCTGCCCTCCTTGTTCTGCCTTCCTGGGGGAAAGGGAGGTGCTGAGAGAAGGGGCCCGAGGTGGCTAATCCCTCTGGCTGCCACCCTGTGAATCTGGCCCCATCTCTGGGCCTTGGCCTCCACCAGCTGTTACCAAATTTCTTTGTCTGGAGTCAGAGCCAGTGCCTCTGGGGCAAGAGGGAGCCAGGACACGCTGAGCCTTAATCCAGACACGTGGCTTAATTCAGAAAAGATCAGTTCGAGGTTTGGAAGCTGGAGGCATCGCTCAGGAGACAGGCAGCCCCTTGGGACCTGGAACTGGCAAATACCAGGCTTGTCGCAGGACCCTAGGCCTATGGTGTGGTGACCTGAGGGTCAGCAGCCCTCTAGTCTGGTCTTGGCTCTGCCGTGTGACTATGGGCATGTCCCTGCCACTTCCTGAGCCTCATTTTCCCAGTGCCCATGTGTTCCCATGAGTAGACAATCACCCATGATAATCATTGCCTGGCACAGATGGGGAGAGCTGGAAAGTCAGGGGAGGGAGCTGTTGGGGAGGGTTTCCTGGGGGAGGAGGGCTTTAGGCTGAACTTTGTTGAAAAGGAAGGGTCATCGTCAGCAGGGGGACAACAAAACAAGAGAAAATAGCCATGCCCTGCCCACAGCACAGCGGCCAGGGAGAAACACTGTTCTCATTAGAGCCTGCATATGTGGTCACCAAGTTGATCTCTGGTTCTCATCCAGACCCTGCCCCTAACCAGTGAAAAATACCTGTTTCCCCCTCTGTGCTTCATTGTCCTCATCTATAAAACAATCACATGGTATATGGTCACTTCCAGCTCTGATTATCTGGGCTGAGTAGGAGGTGGCTCAGAGGCACCAGCCATTGGGATCAGGTGTGGCAGAAAATGGGGAGCCATGGGAGGTTCTTGAGCACCAGGGTGCCTGATGAAAGGGTCTTGGAGGGAAATGATCTTGACAGTGCAGCGGAATGAGCAGCCAGGAGGCAGAAATGGACTTTGGAAGGCCAAGCTGCCCAATCAGGAGGTGGACAGGACCCTGGGAAGAAGGGGTCAGCCAGAGCAGGAGCCTCAGAGGGAATGTGGTGCAATGAGGAGAGTCCGCACTTGGCCAGCTGGGGACCTCGGGCAAGCTGCATAATCTCTCTGAGCTGCACTGGCCACATCTATAAAATGTGGCTCTTGAGTCCCAGTCACACAGGCTGTGGGTAGTGGAGGGATTACCTATATGAACGCTCCAGGCAGAGGAGGTACATTGTCTCCCCTCCAGAGTCCGGCCCTAGGGCCTGGAGGAGGAGCCAGAGTTGCAGGCCAGGCATGCCAGCCCATGGCTCCCTGACCAGTAAACCAAGGTCTCCCTAGACTGGGCTGCTCAGTCTGAGCCTTCCGCACCACCTCCCCACCTGCAGGCAATTGGCTCTTTCCTCCTGCTGCGCCGTTAATCATTAACTTCTTTTTCACCAGGGAGGTGTTGGAGCTGGGACCAAGCCTTGGCTGAGAGCAGGTTCCTTGGCATTTAGGAGCAAGGTGACAGGGAACTGGAATGTAGGGTGTGGAGGAGGGAGTCTCTGCTGGTGAAGGAGCCCCTGGCCAGGAACCGAAAGACCAGGATTTGAGTCCCTTAGCTCTGTGCATCATAACTTCCCTCTACAATGCAGGAATGAGCCTAAGGCCTGAGCTGCCTTTCCCCCGGGGAGGGGGATGGTGGCCAGGGCTTCGAAGCTCACTCGACAAATGTGTCAGGGATGTGTCATCACATCCCAGCCTGGCAAATGTTGCCACCTGCCCTGCCCATTCATCCTCACTGACCCCTCATGCCACGGTGCCCAGAAACATAGCAGTTGCTTCCCATCCTACCTATGGCTGAGGCCAAGCAAACAGGAGGGCCACGAGGGAAGCAAGTTCTCCTGCCTCTTGGAAAAGGTTCTGTCTCCTTGGCACACAGCCCAAGGTGTTGGCAAAGATTGTCCTAACGTGGCAGGCTGGGGAGTTCTGGGGACATGGATGGGGCGGGAGGCAGGCAGTGGATGAAGAAGGAGGGGTGGGGTGGAGAGAGGGGCTCTCCAGGGGTGGGGCCACCTGGAGGGTAGGGCGTGGGCCCAGGCTGGGATGGGGAACCAGGGGCAGAGCAGGCTGTTGGCTCTGCCTGGGTAAATAATGTGGGCCCACAGCACACACATGTGTTTGCACAGAAGGACTTGAAATGATTCCAGGCCTGCCCTCTGTCCCCCGCAACCCTGCACCCCCTCCATCCCTGCCTACCCCACCCTGACCTTTCCTTCCTTGTCACTTAAAGGAGCCCTTGAAAGGGAGACATGAAATGAAAGAGGACACCTTTTTCTCTTGCTGGCGTTCTCTTCACCTAAGGAAACTGCAGGGCTGCCACGTAAAGTGCAGAAGGTTGGGCACTGCACCAGAGAGGGGACACAAGGGAGCTGGAGTTCCACTTGGGCTCCATTCACCAAACTATGCTATCCAGAAAGAAGAGGGTGTCATTTTCTGAGTTGTATGAAGTTGCACTAACTGCAGCCCTAGAGAAGTCAGAATCTTCCAGTTTCTTTTTCTGACCCACCTGCAGGGCAAAGGACGCTGCGGGTCAGTCTTACAAGGTGACTGGAGAAGGGCCAGGGAGCCCACACCCCACTATCTGACAGAGCACAGTAAATTCCACCACTAGAGAGTCCAGCAGCCCTTCCATTAAAGCCTTCCCTCTTCCTGGCCAGATGCCTTCAAAGCAGCGATTCTCAAACTTGAACACCCAACAGAATCACCTCAAGGGCCTGCTGAAACGCGAGGCTACACCTTCCTCCCCACCCCCCGCACGTGCCCCTGCCCTGAGCTTCTGATTCAGTAGCTCTGATGAAGTGGGCCTGAGAATTTGAGTTCCTCACAAGTTCCTAGGTGGTGCTAATGCTACTGGTCTGGGCATCACATTTTGAGAAAACTGTTTAAAATATTAAAACCCCCAGGGAAGGATGCACATCAACTTGCCCTCAACAGGTTTATCCAATCCTTGCCTTTTTTCTGCGTGGTCCCCTGTATTATAGGAGCACATGTTTGTTGGTAATCTTCCACCTCTGTCCTAATTTATTCTTGAGTCTTGAGCCCACCAACCACGGAGCTATCCCAGAACCCCTGGTGTTTGCTGCATGTACATGTCTCAAGTCTCCTGCCCCATCCAAACCTCGTACTCCAGTCTGGAGCTCAGAGAAAAGGGCCGGTGGGGGTGGGGGGAGGAAGCAGAGCCTGGGACCAATGGGGAGGGAGGCCTCTAGGTCCTCGTGTTGAGGCCAAATGGTGCCTCTTGTGGGGACTTAGGGCATCAAGGAGGAGTGGGGTCTGACGTGCTGAGGGCCTTGTTCGGCCCCCAGAGCCTGGCTGGGCCTTTTCGCGACCCCTGTGGCCATGGGGAAAGCAGGCCCGTAGGTCTGCACATGGGCACCTCGGGTGGGAGTTGTGAGTTCCTCTAAGGCGTGAGGGGAGAGGAGAGGGCCCTGGGAGTGGGGAGGGGCCCAAGGCAGCACCTTTCAGGGGAGGATGAGGCCAGGAGGGTACCAGGAACCCAGCCCTGAGTGGAGGCGGGACCAAGCACACCTGTGCCTTGTTGCTCGGTGACCACCTCAGCAGCGTTAGGCTGGGAATGTATTCACACTCCCTAAATGGCCCTGTGGGTGGGGAAGTGGGTGAGGGGGTTCTACCTTGTCACACCCCTCAGTGGCTCCTTTCTTTCTTCACCTGGCTGGTGAAGATGATGGTGACCTTCTCCCTTCCCTACCCCTTTTGAGGGCAGAATAAAGGAAACAAGCTTTGCTACAACAGGAAAGATTCAGATTAGCTCTCAGAAGGAACTTCCTCCATGGGACAGTGGACTGGGATCTGGGAGTGGGCTGGCCCAGCAACAGAGGGCTGGACATTAAAGACTCCTTGTCCAGGCCTCAGTTTGCTCATCTGCCAAATGGGACTCATCATGCCTTCCCTTGTGAGGATGGAATGAAGTCAAGAATTCAGAAGGTTGTTTTAAGCACCCTACCTGTGTAAAGATTTGCTGCTCCCAGCTGACCTGGCTGGGAGGGGTTTGTTTAGAGTCCTACCCTGACTCCCACCTCATTGCCTTTCCCAGCCAAGAACGCCTGTCTGCCCCAGCCCTGTCCTTGCTGCCCAGTGACCCGGAAGCCCCAAGTCTCTCCCAGGCCCAGCCACTGCCCACTGGGCTCCTCATCTCTGTAACCAGCTTAGCGGCCCCCATGGGGATGGGGAAGCAGCCAGAACCTGAATTTCCTTCCTTTTTGATTTCTGTAGACGCAGCCGCCAGCCCGAGCAGCAGCGGCATGGGCAGCACCAGCCCGGGCCTGAGCAGTGTCTCCCCCAGCCGCCTCCTGCTGCCCCCTGACACTGTGTTGCGGGCAGGCCTGGAGAAGGGGGCGGTGGGGGCGGCAGGGCCTGAGAGACGGGACTGGAGCCCCAGCCCACCTGCCACGCCTGAGCAGGGCCTGTCCACCTTCTACCTCTCCTACTTCGACATGCTGTACCCCGAGCACAGCAGCTGGGCGGCCAAGGGCCCTGGAGGCAGCACTCGGGAGGAGCCAACTGATGAGCCTGAGCAGTGCCCAGTCATCGACAGCCAAGCCCCGGGGAGCAGCCTGGACTTGACGCCAGGCGGGCTGACCCTGGAGGAGCACTCACTGGAGCAGGTGCAGTCCATGGTGGTGGGTGAGGTGCTCAAGGACATCGAGACAGCCTGCAAGCTGCTCAACATCACGGCAGGTGAGCCCTTCCTCACACTCACCGCTGTAAGGGGGGCCTGGGTCAGCTGAAGTCACTGGGAGGAACAGGGGCACCACCTGGTGCACTCAGGTCACCCCTGGCCTAACCACAGGCAGCCCCAGGGATGCCGGTTCTTTGACACATACAGTCAGCCCGTAACACACAGCAGCTGGGAGCCTGGGCTGGAAGGTTTCCCACCCTCTCTGTGCTCCAGATGCACCAGCCCAGTGTCCCCAGTTGGTAGGTACTGGATGGAGTAAATTCAAGCTCTACACCATCTGGCCCACCATCTCCTCTCAGACTTGTCTCCGTTCTCCCCTCATTCACTCTGCTTCCACCACAACTGCCTTATTGCTCTTCCCACAACGCTTACACCTCAGGACCTTTGCACCTGTTGGTTCCTAAACTCAGAACACTCTTCCTCCAAATATCTGCTTGGCTCACCCCTCACCTCCTTTAGGTCTTGACTCAAATGGCACATCTTGATGAGGCCTTTCCTGACCCCTCTATTGAACCTGCTGCCCATACCTCCACCCCTTATTCCTCCAACCTGTTTTATTTCTCCCGTAGCACCCACCGCCTGATATGCTGCATGTTTTATTTATTGGTCTTATTTACTATCTGTCTCTCTCAAAGGAATGTACAAGCCCCAAGGGCAGGGATTTTCATTTGTTTTGTTCACTGCTGCATCCCCAGCTCCTAGGGTGGTACCTTGTACATAAGAGATGCCTGAACAATAACTTAATACGTCAGGCCCTGTCCTGGCATTGGGGAATTGAGTATGAACACAACACAAAAGCCCCTTTGTTTATGAAGCTGACATTATGGTGACGAAACAGATCATAAATAAATAGCCTAGAGAGTCATTGGTCCAGTGGGGGCGAGGGCTGTGGTGGTCACATCAGGAGCACAGGTTGCCAGGGCCTGGGAAGTGTGGTTAGGGAGCTGGACGAGGGGCTCCTGGCCTCCTGTCCCCTGTCTCTCCATCATCTCTCTAGCTTTGGGCAGGCCTGACCCATCTCCTTGGCATTTGAGCATCCCACACAGGAAGGGTCTTTGGGCGTCCCTCGGGTCCAGCACCTCCTCCGCAAAGTCCCAGCTGGTGTCCCCTCTTGAGGTAGCTCCCGCCCATGCCCCAGTCCTCCAGTTGCTCAGTGCCCAAGCCAGTCCCCGCCCTGAGAGGTTTTCCCACGGTGCCTCTGCTCCCACATCGAGCGGGGCAGGGCCCTGCCCACTGAACAATGGGGACAGAAACAAATTGCTTTGACCCTGAGGAGGAAAATGGGTTTATTAAGTGGGGGCAGCCCAGCCTGGAGGTCACCCAGCCTGGGCACCAGCTTAGACCACAGTGTTCACTTGGAGGCCCCATTGTGTCTGTGCCCATGGGCTCACCCCAGAGCAGCTCCCCAAGGAGACATCTAGGACCTCACCAGTGACTCCCCTCCCGGCCTCTGCCCCGTGACCACCCTGGGCCCTGCCATTTATCCATTCAGTGCACATGCACTGAGCAGTACCAGGCCCCAGCCCTTCGTTAGGTGCTGGACAAAGGGATGGAACTCTATGTGTCCAGTTTCCTCATCTGTAAAATAAAGTGTTGGGTGGGGTTGAACTTTGTAGGACTAATTCCTGGTTGGGTTTTTGTATAGTTCCTTGAGGGGTTCAAGGAAGGCAAGACACATCTGGGAGAGAAGCTTAGGTGTTTTTGACTCAATGTCACTGTCCCTTCCAGGGCTGGGGCTCCTCAAAAGGCTCTTTGGAGGGGCTAGAGGGGTCTGGGACACCTGAAGTCCAGGTAAGAGGAGGGTAGGGGTAAAATGAGCAATGCTTGCTGGTCCTTCCTCTCTCCCCGCCTCTCTTCTTGGATATCCTCTCCACAGGGCCCCTGAAGGCCCTATCTGGCCTGGCCTGGCCCCACCAAAGGAGTGCATGGTCCCAGGCCACCAGTTAGAGTGGGTCAGAGTAGAGTGAGCCATGTTTGGGGTGGTGCCAAGCAGCTCTGGAGCTGAAGGAGTGTCTCTTGCCCAGACCCCGTGGACTGGAGCCCTGGCAACGTGCAGAAGTGGCTCCTGTGGACGGAGCACCAGTACCGGCTGCCCCCCGTGGGCAAGGCCTTCCAGGAGCTGGGTGGCAAGGAGCTGTGTGCCATGTCGGAGGAGCAGTTTCGTCAGCGCTCACCCCTGGGTGGGGACGTGCTGCACGCCCATCTGGACATCTGGAAATCAGGTGGGACATGGCGTGGGGGGAGCAGCCCCTCCAGGGCTCCAGGCTAGAGACATAGTGGGGAATGGTGAGGCCAGGGTTCCTTCCCCGGAGTCCACTGAAGAAGCAGCCCCTTGTCTCAGTCTGGGCTCTGTTCTGAATCCCAGCCCCCAATACAACTGCCCTCTGGATCCTGGAGGAACTCACAAGCCCCAACCCACTTCCCACCCTAGTCAAGGCCGCAGAGCGTAGGACGGCACACATGGGGAGTTAAAAGGTAGAAGTTAGACTGTGAGGACATGGGACATCAGAGCTGACAGAGACCATGGATGCTCTGAAGTCCTGTTTCTTTGTTCTTTTAAATTTTTTGTGTTTGTTTTGTGTGGTCTTTCATTAAAGAATTAATGAGGTAACAAATGTACAGGATTTTTAAAAAATTGTGAAAAACAGTACAGCATGAGGAGCGATCCTCCCTCCCACTGACCTCCAGCCCTCCAATCCCCCTCCCTAGAGGCAACCACTGTTGCCAGTTTCTTGGGTACCTTGCCAAGGAAAGTCTATGCATATACAAGCAAGTGTAAGTGTGACCTCTACCTTTTTCTAACAGGAAGAGTACAGAGTATCACCGTTCTGTACTTAACAGTGTATCTTGGATCTTGTTCTCCACTAGTGTATACATAGCTGCCCTATTTTTGATGGCTGCATGCCAACCCCTTCATATTTACATCTTCTCAGTCTCATTGGGTGCCCAGTGTGCCCTGCACAGAGCCATGGGCTTTGGAGGACTCAGTCCTTGCTTGATGAGTCAAGGGCCCTGCCCCTCGGGGTCAGGATGAATACGAGGACAGGTCCCACTCTCATGGCCCAGTCAGACCAATATCCTACCCCAATCCAGGCCCCTTGCCAGGGGCTGGCAAGGACAGTGGACAGTGCCAGGCTGAGAGCTGAGTGGTGATGTGGGCAGAGCCTATTTGCCTCCATGCCCCCCTACTACTTGGTCTGGGGAGGGGGCCAGGTGGAGAACAGGAGGGGATGGAAGGAAGTGTTTGGAGGGCTTGGCGGCTGGAGGGCAGGGAGCATTTTTATTATGCTGGGCACTGAGCAAGGCAGGGTGCCGACGTCATCATTCTGCATCCTTGTAAGACCTGTGAGAGGCTGTCCCAGTCCCATTTCACAGGTGACAAAAGGAAGGCAGGGCAAGGTTCGACTTCTGTTCTCCTCTCTGAACAAGAGGCTGCATGCAGGGCCTCTAAGGCCCCACTTAGCTCTGAAATCCTAAATTTTCTTGCAGGAAGCAGTTCTGTAAACAGCTTCTCTTCCCACATTGTCAGGAGGGAGGGAGCCACAGGGGGGCATCTACGGCCCCATAGTCCCACCTAAATGCCCTCCTCATCCCTTGGGGTCTCATTGAGTCCCCAGCTTCCTCTCCTTGTCCCACAGCGGCCTGGATGAAAGAGAGGACCTCCCCGGGGGCGATTCACTACTGTGGTGAGCCGGGCAGGGTGGGGAGGTGGCCGGGGCTCTGGGTCTGGGGGTGAGGAGGGGTGGCCGCTGAAGAGAGGGGCTCCCCACTCACCGCCACCCTTCCTGGCTACCCAGCCTCGACCAGCGAGGAGAGCTGGACTGACAGCGAGGTTGACTCATCCTGCTCCGGGCAGCCCATCCACCTGTGGCAGTTTCTTAAGGAACTGCTGCTGAAGCCCCACAGCTACGGCCGCTTCATCCGTTGGCTGAACAAGGAGAAGGGTGAGCGGTGGGTGGGGAAGGAGGCGGCTGGAGGCTGTGGTCCCACCAGGCATTGGGCACAGGAGGGGTTGGGGGCGGGGCAGGGAGGTGGACCTGCCCTACCTTTGCCCTGAATGCTCACATGCATTCATTGGACCTGCCCAGATCTGCGTGCCATCTGTGTCCACATCTGTCCCCTGGCTGGGCTCTGCCTGTTGAGGGTCCCCAGCGCCACACAGTGCCTGGGACATAGCAGGGGCTTAAAACTGTGCTAAGAATGGGACACAGTCTTTACCCTCAAAACATCATAGCTTCACTGTGGAGACGTGGTGTCCAGTGAGACATACAGTGCGAGCCACATGGGCGATAGAGTTTTGAGCAGCCACAATTAAAAATATTTTTAAACAGATGAATTTAATTTTAATAATGCTTTTATTTAATCCATTTTATAAATTAGTATAATTTCGTATAATCAATATAAAATTATTAATGAGCTATTTTACTAAGCCTTCAAAGTCTGGCATTTATTTTATGCTTATAGCACGTCTCAGTTGGGACTGGCCACATTTCAAGGGCTTAAGAGCCACATGTGGTTAGTGGCTACCACATTGGACAGCTCAGGACTGGATGGTGGGTGGGTGTGTGTTTTGGAAAAGACTCAGAGCTAAGAAACCTGGGTTCTAGGCCTCATCCTGCCATTAGTAGCTGTGCATGCCTGGACCCAGTCTTTTTATCTGCAAAATGGACTAGATTTATTCATCTGACAGATCTTCATTGAGCACCTCCTCTGGTTCCACACTTGTTCTGCTGACATTTACAGAGAATTACAGTGTTCCCAGGGGGTAGGGAGAACTCAGCGGCACCCCATCTGTGGGGGCAGCTGTGTGCAGGTCCACAGTGGACTGACTCTGGGGCTGAGTATAGAGCACTAGAAGGGGTCAGGGTGGGTGGAGGAGATGTTCCTGTGCAAGATGTGGTGATCCTGTGTGTGTGGTTGAGACTTAGAGTGAACTGGTCCTCCAGGGAGATGGTCCCATGATAGAGGGAAGGGAGATCAGGGAGGGTGAGATGGTCTGGGAAGTCAGCCTGGAGGGGGCTGTGCTGACCTGGGCTTTGCCAGGAGGATTAGAATAAGAACTCGGGCTATTAAAGAAGACACAATAGCTCTAAGCACTTTCTGTAACCACTCAACAATGTGACGGTCAGTACAATGCTCTCTTACTGACAAGACAAAGGGGCCTCAGATAACTTCTGAAGGTAGAAAAATGGCAGAGCCAGGATTCCCACCCAGGTCAGCCTGGCTCCAAATCCACTCTGTCCTCCATCTCCTATGAATTAATCCTGCCAGAAAGGGCTGTGTGGGCTGAAGTATCTGAATGGCAAAGAGGTCTTTCAGGCTCAGGTACTACAAAGGTGAAGGTGGTGGGGTGGGCAGGGATGACCTAGCCAAAGGAGCCGTGTCCACAGCCCGGAGCCCTGCAGGGCTTCTGCGTAGGGTGTGAAGAGCCCACACTGAGGAGCTGAGGCAGGGAAGAGCCGGGCCCTTAGGGCACCAAGTAACCCACCAATGTACACAGGCTCACCGTGGACCCTTGTGATGCCATGGATGTATTTTCCATTTTCTGGGCCTGTGGCACTCTTTGGGCACATTTCTTTCACCTTCCCCACAACCATGGGAAGAACGTACCGTGGTCCCACCACCTGGCCCCGGCCTCAGGCCAACTCAGGCTCCATGGCTCTTCGAGAGACTGACCTGCTGGTCTTGGTCTTTCTCCCTCCTGCTGCCCCACCTTGGGCCACTGGCTCTCTCTGGGCCCTCCTGCTCCCCCTAGGCATCTTCAAAATTGAGGACTCCGCCCAGGTGGCCCGGCTCTGGGGTATCCGCAAGAACCGTCCTGCCATGAACTACGACAAGCTGAGCCGCTCCATCCGCCAGTATTACAAGAAGGGCATCATCCGGAAGCCGGACATCTCCCAGCGCCTGGTCTATCAGTTTGTGCACCCCATCTGAGGGCTGTGGTCCAGGCCCGAGGCCTGAAACTCACCCTCACCAGACCTCCCTCCTGCCTGCCCTGCCTGGGCCAGACCCTGAGCCAGGGGAGAGGGCGGTCTGCTGGCATCCAGGGTTCAAGGTCAGGCAGGGGATGGTCCACAGCTCCCAGGGGTATAAGTGAGTTCTCTGGGGCCTGAGGGACTCCCAGGGTGGGGTGCTTCCTCCTCAGGCCTGACTGCTCCTGTACCCAGTCCACCAGAGGATGGAGGGAGCCAGGGCTGCCCTCAGTGTTCACAGCTCCCCAGGGAAGGCTCTCCTTCCACCTCAGCCTCTGACCCCAGAATTTCCAGAGCAGAGTTGACAGAATGGCAGTGACTTGGCCAAGGCCTCTAGCAGTCCAGTGCTCTCTGCCACCCATTCTGCACCCGTCTGGCATGGAGCCAGGGGATGTCTGCACCCTTAAGCTGGGAAGCCAGAGGTACCCTGGGAATGGATAATAAAGATACTAGAGAACTGACATGGCCCCAGTGTCCTGAAGTGTGTGGCACGCCCGGAGGCCATCAGTGCTCGAAGTGGCTGTGGTCACAGGGGCCTGGGGTGGTCAAAGGAGGCTGCTTGAGGGAGACGACATTGAAGCGAGCCTAAAAGGAAAGGGATAATTGATTGGTAGATGCTGTGGGAGAGAGACGGTGAGTCCTCAAGGCCAATAAAGGGCTGGGATGACCCTCCCCTGACCCTGGTGTGGGCTGAAAGGAGGGGCGTGGGCTGGAGCTGAAGAGGGTCTATGGTAGGACTGGAGAGAAGGTGGCATCCTTCCCACCTGGCTCTGCTGAGGATCAGGACTTTCCCCTGGGGTGGGCCAGGGGCTGACCCTCCTGAGAGGGGGCCCACAGCCCTGATCTCTGCTTGGCCAGCTGAGGGGGGGTCTGGGATGGGGCTGCAGGGCCTTGGAAGGGAGGGGGGTGCTTCAGTGCCCCTCCTGGGACAGTGGCTCTGCAACGAGCAGTGTGGGAGAGAGGCTGGCTTGTGGGCAATTTCTCTGTCTTGAGGGAAACCACAGACTTCATCAGTGCCCCTGGGGCTGTGAGCCCCATGAGTGGGAAGTGAGGGGTGAGAGCTCACGATGGGAAAAGGGTGTGGGTCAAAGTGTTTGTGCGCTGGGGAAGACGGAACCTACTGGCCCCTCCCCTGGGCAAAGCAACTCACTGTTTCCTTGTGCTCCCTCACATGTGTTCATCCAGCTCACGTGTCCTGAGGGCCGACTAGGTGCTGGGCGCTTCCACCACCTCCACTGCTTCCACTGGGTGCTTCCACTGCTTTTTTGTCATTAACTTTCCCAACAAAACTATGAGATAAAAGCTCTCCTCCTCCAAATTTGGCAACTGAGGCTCAGAGCAGTTAAATCACTTGCTCACAGCCACACAGCCAATCAGTGGCAGAAATAGGAACTGAACCCACAAGGACAGGGCTCTCTCTGCCCCTCCAGGCCTCCTGCTTCATCAGCGTCCTTAGCCTCTGTAATCCTTAGCTTCTGATGACAGGCTTCCTGGAGACAGGACGGGGAGCCAGCAATGCCACCCAGACCACTAAGGGTTAAATGCTGCCCCATACTGCACCTTCTGCCCTCAGCAATTTTATTGTCTCCAGAAGAAAGTTTACTCCTGGCAGTGAGCAAACAGCACCTTGGCATCTGTCAGCTGGGAATGTACGGGTAGGAGGAGGGGGCCTGCCCTAGGCTGGTGCCTTGCTGGGCCCCTGCTGTCTGCCCACCCCCAGGGAGGGGGCAGACTGGGACCCTGGCCAGAACCCAGATCAGCTCTGCTGAACTGGTTTTGTCTCCAAGCTGCCCACCCTGGCCCCAGCTGAGTCCCTGGAGTCACCTACTTCGATGTCTCCAGCTGGGCCTGGGCCTGGAGAGGCCTCAGATCACAGTCTAGAGCTGGGAGGGAGGTGGTGATGAGGATTAGGGGCTAGGAGTGGAGAGCTGGAGCGGCTCCAGAAAGGGGAGCTGTGGGAGGCTGGGTGGGGCAGCTCCCTGCCGTGTGGATCTGCCATGAAGCACAGAGGCACACGTCCCTGGCAGGTGCACACCCATCCAGTGACACCTCATGTGCTGGCAGCAAACTTTGGATTCCTCTTCCCCCTCTGCATACCTCCCTGGCAGAACCCCATCTAGCCTAGGCACTCCCTGATCGCCTTCAGGGGAGCCCACCTCCAGGGCACCACACAACCATATGGAACAGCCTACTCAAATAAGACAAGGGAAACTTCTGTCTTTATTTGAAGAGTCCTCTATTTGGCTAAAACCAGGGGCTTGTCCCTGGGTGGATCTGGAGGATGAAGACTATGGGGGAGAGAAGAGATTCAGTCCCCACCTGGACCTTTGCTCCCTGCCCTGAGCATGCCCTGAGCTGGGGGAAAGCAGTTGGGGGCAGGGGACTGCAGTGTGTTTGCCTTGAACAATGGGTTTGTGTCAGGACTCTGCCAGGCTTCCAGGGCCAGAAGGTTCTCAGAGAAACACCTAACCAGACTGGAGGAGGCTGAGGCCCGACTGGGGACACAGTGAACTGGGACTGGACCTGGGACTCCTGCCCTGCCTCAGAGGAGATCGAGCCGGATTGGGGAGGCTGGAGCAGGGCTGAGTCTGGCAGATCAGAGTTGGGAGCCCAGAGCCCTGGACCTTCCTTCCCAGGGGTCCCACACAAAAGTGCTGTCAGAGGTCTGACAGGACAGAGGAAAGTGTAGCATGGCCTCATGTTATACCACAGGAAGCCTGGGACTGTGGACAATCAGAAGCCACAGGACTCAGCAGTCACTTTTAGAATTTTGCTTTAAAAATTATAACTTATTTGCGATCAAATTCACCCTTGAACCATAAGTTTGGGACCCTGGACGCCCCAGTTCTCCTGGTCATTGCTCATGACTATGTACCCAGAACCCTAAAGACCACAGCCTTAGAACCTCAGAGAGCATCTGATGTGATCTTCCCTGTACAGGCAGGACCCGGGGCCCTGGGAGGTGAAGGGATCAGCCCTCAGTCCTCCAGCCAGGACAGCACCCAGTCGTGCTGGGCACCACCTCCCCAACAAACACCCAACCACACGGAACTCTCAGAGGGCTCAAAAGACACACAAGACTCAAGATGACAACGTCCAACCAGGTTGACACAGTTTTGGATTTTATCCACAGTCATACAGTAACAACTTATATATATATATATATTTGTATTTATATACCTTTAAATTACACAGTCATGTACAAAACAGGTGCATTGCTGAGACCACAGCACTTCTCAGAGTTTCACAAGTGTTGGACTAATGGAGTTAGGAAGCCTAGGGTGGCAGACGGCGGGCCGCAGAACGGTGCTTAACTGGGGACAAAACACAGTATTCGCCAAGCCCCATAAGGTGGGCCGCACAGCATCAAGGGGGCTGGGGGTGGGGGCTACGGGAGGCGGTGAGCATGGCCCCCACACTCGGTGTTGAGTACCCTGACACCAGCACTGACAGGTGGGGCTGGGCCCCTGGGGCTCAGGGGGACTTCCAGGTGGGAGACCCTCCCACCCTGGTGCCCTGAGGAGCCTGGGGGCTGAGAGAGAGTGGTCCCAGATGGAGTCGTAGAGGTGGTTGCTCAGAAGGAATGGGGTTTCAAGTCCCTGCCCCAGAGTGGGCAGCTGGAGTGGAGAGGGAGACAGGCCTGGGGTCCAGCCAGGGCCACAGCCCCTACCCAGGAGCTGGGGAGCCGCTGGCACAGAGAGGGGGGAGCCCAGGCCCCAAGGTGCAGATGTGCCAGCTTTCTGCTTTCCAAGGGTAAGTAGCGAGGGGCAGAGGCCCCCAGCCCCAACTCCTGCCTGGAGGAGAGGCTGAGGAAGTTTTTATTCTGGAGTTGGGAGGGCTCCAGGCTTCAGAAATCTTGCTTCAGGCTCTGAGCAGCCGAAGGCACATCTCAGAGGCCCAGAGAGCAGACAGTGACAAGAAAGGGGGTGCTGGGAGTTCGCCTGACCCTGGGAGTGCCATCCTCCCCACCCCACCCCCAACTCCCCTGGCCCTGAGGGAGGCCTGCCCCAGCTCAGGCCCCTGAGAATCTGCCAGGATCCTCTGTGCCCACATGTACAGGTCAAGGCCTTGAGGTGGGGCCTGCAACCTCCTAAGTAGGCTGTTGGAAGAAGCGGGGAGCAAAAGAGGACTGAGGGGTGACAGAGGGGCTGGGGTATCACACTGTCTTTACCTGGAGGCCAGGGGGTCTGGTGCTGTAGGAGCAGGCAGGGCGTCTGCAGACCTGAGGCCCAGGAGTAGCATCAGCTGTGAGCAAGTCTCACCTGGTGCTACAGGAAGTCTCAGGGCCTCATGGGGGAGGTTCCTGAGCGACTCCTCCTCTAGCCATTCCCTTACCTTGTGGGGTCTTGTCCTGCCCTGGCCTGCTTCCCAAGCACCCCTGCCCGAATCGTATGGGCAAGGCTGGTTGGTACCTGGTACGAATCCCTGGTAATCAGCACCACTCTCTCACCAACCACAGGAAGCGCTCCTGCTCTCCGGAGGCCCTTGGCCTCCTCCCATCCCCCAAAGTCCTTAAACTGATACCCGGGCTTGGAGAAATGGAGGGGCTGCCAGCAGGAGGGGCTGCCAGGGGCCAGGGCTGGGGTTGGGGGCGGGGAAGGGACAAGGAATAAAGACATGGCGACTGTCCTGCTCCTGAGGGCCAGGGCTCCTCCCTTTTGCAAACCCAGGCCTGTCCCATTGGCTGCAGGCTCTCCCCTGCCGCTCCCAGGCTGGTAGTTCCCCTGGGCCCACAGTGTCTCTGCAGGCAGGCCACAGAAGGGGGAAGAAGGATGGGAGGCTGGCTTAGCCTAGTGGTTCTAGGGTTTTAGATGGACATGGAGGGAAGGAAGGTGGCTGGGCAATATGTCCTCCTCCCCAGGAAATGGGAGGAGGCTGCTACTGTTGCTGGCTTTGCCCTGGGCTTTGGGGTCCCTCCCTGCTGCCTGAGGACTTCTGAGAGGGGGCGGGGGTCTCTGTGAGTGACTAAGGGGTCTAGCTCTGAGGAAGAGCCGATGCCCAACGTGCTGACAGCTGGAAAGAAGGGCCCCAGCAGGGTCTTGCCCCTCAGCTGAGCCTGGTGCTGGGAGGGCCGAGGGCCTGCTCCCTGTTCACTCAGCCTTCTACCCCCCAGCGACACTGTCACCAACTCCAGCTCACCCCTCTTCGTATCCTGGGGAGCCCAGGGACCCCTGGAAACCTCTGGGGTAAGAGGGTGACCATCCCTCCTCCAGCCCCACAGCCTTGAGGGGTGAGGCTAGAAGAAGGGCTCCCAGGGGCAAAGTGGAAGACTGAAGACAGGGAGGACTTTGACAGTTAGGTTTGTGGCAGGGGCGCCAGGGAGGGCAGGAGGAAGAGGTCATAAAACCAGGCTTAGAGACTGGGGGCAGGTGCTGGCAGCCCGGGGTGGGGACGGGAAGGCTGGGGGACTGAGGCAGGAGAGAGGGTCCAGGAGACATCCCTCAGGGCTCAGGAGACTCTTTGGTGGGATCTGAAGAGCAGATGTTGTGACGTCGCCGTTGGGCTAAGTCCTAAGACCCCCACCTACCCTGGAGCCATCGCCCCAAGTCCTATCACCCTGGCCTCCAGGCGGCCCTGCAAATGCTCTGTCTCTTCGTATTTTTTGTTTTGTTCTGTTTTGACTTTTAAAAAAATAAAAGCTTGATCGGAAAATAT